CAGAGGGGTGGGAGACAGTTTCATCTAATTTGGAAAAGGTAGGCCTGAAGTGATAGTTCTCATAGTGGTTTAAAGTTTCAGTTGTTAAAGCAAACATATGGGCCAAGATTGGTGGAATTTTATGTTTTAATGGTTTCTAAAATAAAGCTATATAAGAGAGGAATTGCAGTGGGGTGAGAAATAGGAAAACAGAGGAAGTCAGAAAGGAGGACGAATACCAAATACGGTTGTTCCCACAGGCAGGTTCCCAATCCTTCAAATCCTGTATTTTTTAATCTACATTTGCTTGAAAAAAATTCACATTACATAGACTCATGCAGTTCAAAACTGTGTCGTTCAAGAATCAGCTGTAGTTCATTTTTGTCAGTCCAAGGTACTCTCCTAACTGGTAGTCCTAAGCATAGAAAGGAAAAAAGACAACTGGGTGCTCGAAATTATTAGACGTAATAATGTCTTCTATGTGTCTCCATAAAGGTGCCAAAGCTTAGGCACAAAATTTATTCTTATAAATTTTAAATTCCTATCTTCTGAGAGGCAAGGATATTTTTCTACTTTCTCTAAGACAGATAGATATTCTACTTTTTTTTGACAGTTGACAATGTTTGACTTAAATTCGATATTCCCTTAGACTATTGCAGTAAAAATAAATTAATAATCCTTAAATTTCATTTTACAACAACACTTCTTCAAAGAATCTGTAGCATATCCCCAGCATTGTTCTTTTGTACACTCTCATTTTTTTTTGGTGAGTATTCTACTAGTTTTGTTTTTAGGTGACCAATAGCAATTATTTTATTTTAAGAACTTTGGATTTTATTTGAAAATGTTTTTACCAAGTACATCTATTTCATTTTGGTAAGAAGATAGTCTGTTTTCTTCGAAGTCATATAAATTGTTTTCAAAGCTTCATTTTCATTACTCACTGAAATTATTGGAGCAATTGGATAGAGTAGCCATGTAGCACTCAATTCTTATGAGGTGTATAAACTGGCTTTGCCAACTTTGGTAACTTTGGTATCATGTTGTTTGGTGTCCATTAAAACTTACACAGTAGCACGCTAAATTAATGTTCTCCTCTGTCTTTTGACAAAGGTTAAGTTAGTTCCCTTGAACTTTAAAGATAGATAAATTCATTTATATTTTTATATTGTATATATTTTCAATTCATCAAAATATTTGTACCTGGGGATCCTTTATTTTTACCTATCTCTGATTTGCAATGCTAGATTTTAACCATCCCGATCCTGGCTCTGTTTCCAACATACTGTCTGCCACAGGGATAGTCAATCAAGTGCAGTGCACCCCTCAGATTGCCACACTGTATTTTCTTATAATACTTGAAGTATTCTTTGTAAAAATTGTTCCACTCTTTGTCTAGTGATTCAAGTTGATCAGTATTTATTAATTTGTAGATTATACCTTACCTGCTTTAAGCAGATAAAGTTGCCTGCTATAAAGCCGTATAAAACATCTGTATCTTTTTAAAAAACTTTTAAGTTCAGCGGTACCTGTGCAGGATTGTTATATAGGTAGACTTGTGTCACAGGGGTTTATTGTACAGATTATTTCATCACCCAGGTACTAAGCCTTGTACCCAACAGTTATCTTTTCTGGTCTTCCTCCTCCTCCCACCATCCATTCTCAAGCAGGTCCCCAGTGTCTGTTGTTCCCCTCTTTGTGTCCATGAGTTCTCATCATTTAGCTCCCACTTATAAGTGAGAATATGCAGTATTTGGTTTCCTGTTTCTGTGTTAGTTTACTAAGGATAATGGCCTCAAGCTGCGTCCATGTTGCTGCAAGGGACATGATCTCATTCCTTCTTATGGCTGCATAGTATTCTGTGGTGCATATGTACCACATTTTCTTTATCCAGTGTGCATTGATGTGCATTTAGGTTGATTCCATGTCTTGGCTATTGTGAATGGTGCTGCAATGAACATTTGCACGCATGTGTCTTTATGGTAGAATGATTTATATTCCTCTGGGTATATACCCAGTAATGGGATTGCTGAGTTGAATGGTAGTTCTGTTTTTAGCCCTTTGAGGAATGGCCACACTGTTTTCCACTGTGGTTGAACTAATTTACATTCCCACCAACAGTGTATAAGCATTCTCTTTTCTCCACAACCTTCACCAGCGTATGTTGTTTTTTGACTTTGATAATAGCTATCCTGACTGATGATAGTTGGTATCTCATTGTGGTTCTGATTTGCATTTCTCTAATGATCACTGATACTGACCTTTTATATGTATGCTTTTTGGCCACATGCATGTCATCTTTTCAAGTGTCTGTTCACCTTCTTTGCCCACTTTTTAATAGGGTTGAATTTTTCTTGTAAATTAAAACATCTGTATCTTCTACAGAATTTGTAGTATTATATTATTTTTCCACTCATTTTATTGCTTTTTAGTTTGAACTACACAATTTGCCAATCCACTGTGTTTTGTCTAGTAATCTTTTTATGACTCCACCTGTATGCACTCCTCTCTCCCACTGCAGCGCATGTTCCTGAGGAGCAGAGGGTGTGTCTTTGATTTAGAGCAGTTCCTTTGCAAGACTCTCATGTGAATTTCATGTGATTGACATTTTCCCTACTTGGTCAATAATGAACTATACTTGTCCTACTGCCTATATGTTTCCTGTTTTTCTGTAAATTGTTTAAGGAAATACCCACACTCTCTCCACTCTCTCAACCCACAAAAAAGATCAGTTGTCTTTACTTTGAGGAGGGACACTCCTACCCGGAGCTGTTCACTGGTGGCTAATTAACAGGTTCCCAAAGAATTCTTGTCCTAATATCTACATAGCACTTTATATTATCTCACAGTGCCACAACCACTCTCGGAGGTAGACTTTCTTTTTTACTATGAGGAAATTAAACTTAAAGAGATTTCCTGACCCAAATGTGTTGGGTATGGAAGGCTAGCACATGAATCCAAGTATTCTTATTCTAAGGTTAGTGTTCATTTCAGCAGGCCACATCTGTCTCCATGGGGAAGCTACTATGGAATCAAATACAAGGCCAAAGCTGTTTTTTGCCCCTCTGCTCCCAGGAATTATTGCACAGTGGTGTGGGATAGGATCCATCAACACTGAAGTATCTACCTGTATTTTCTTGGGAACCTACCCTTCTATCCATGGGTTGAAGAGTCACACCTCACAGATAAAATTGGGCACCTCTGATTGTTGCCACGTGCTTCAGAGCCCATGGAGATCAGGGCCATGAGAGAGTGGTGCAGTATAAACACAACTTTAGCCCTAGAAAAACCTGTCTTCAGTCATTGTTAATTCACAGAGTTGTATCAGTCCAAAGTCTGGAGCACTGAACTGTAAATTCCTTGAGGGTTACAGGCATATTCTCATCTACTTAAGATCCTGTGGTCTAACATAGTGCCTGAGACACAATAACGGTATTTGCTGAAAAAAACAAATGAACCATTTTGGCAGAAAATATAATTATATTCGATCTTTACTTTAAACTTCTAGAATGTCATATAAATTATATGTATCTTAAAAAGACACCAGAAAGTCTCTTCCTAAATATTTTGATATTTGGATTCCAAAAGATCTCTTATAAATTCACAAAATTCAGAGGCACTGCCCTTTAACTCAGAAAGGTCTATGTCAATTCATATCAGATTAGATCTAAGTGCTACTTGTTGTATAAGACAGGGTGAAAAGAATATTCTCAGGTTTACACAGGGTTATTAGGAGACTTGAAAATGAAAATCAAAGGTCATAATAATGTATATTTCAAAATTGCTAAAAGAATACATTGTTAACATTCTTACCACATTAACAAATGGTAATTTGGTGAGGTGATAGATATGTTGTTATTTATTAAAAATAGATACATTTTTAAAGTACAAAAAAAAAAAAATCCCCAAATTTTGAACTTTGTGGTTTTAGCAGGAATTAAAACCCTGGGTCAATATATAGTCATAAATTTTAACAACAGCATTATGTCAAGCAGTCACTTGCAAACCACATGAAACTCAAATTTTATGAAGTGTCACAATAGCCTCATTGAAATTATTTCCCAAATATTGACACTAAGAAAGCAAACAAAATATCAACCCTGCCGCTCAGACTTAAACCTTCTAGGCTGCCTGATTCAGGCAGTAACAGACAAGGTGTTTTTATGTCGTCCCTCACACTGACTCTGTCTTCCAAATGCCGTCAAATGACTTTTGCTAATTCTTTCTTAGAAAATGTGCAAAAAGGATTTCCATAGAGGTCTTTGGAGATTTCCTGTGTCCTCATGTGTGTAATAGGTTGGGTCATGTAATAATGAAGGAAAAAGGAAGAACGGGGATTCTATTTTACGTATTTTTCTCCTTCCGGCCATTGAAAGAGGGAAAAAAGGAAAAGGGAAAATTATACCATACAGATGATGTCAGTGTTAAATTAAATTAAGATCACATGTTTGGCTGTGGCAGCTGTAATCTTTTGATTATTGAAGAGATTGTTGGTAATGAAATACATTTGTAAGAAATATTTTTAGTGTAAACTGTATACATGCACAAACTGTGAGCTATGCATCTAATAAAATGATAGATTTAGAAATTGCCTGGTACCTAAATTCATGTTTTTCAAATAGCTATTTATAGAAAGAAAAGTGATATTTAAGCTATCATAGTAGAATATTATAATCTACCTTATATTACCTTAGATAATAGTCCCATATTTTAAAATAATGTAAACACCATTCAATTATTTATTCACGCCTAAGTTATGTAAATTGGAAGATTTGGGGAATTGTGCAAGAAAAGAATTATTTTATCCAAAAGTAAGGCCTCACTGTCATGGCTTAAAGAGATTGCCACAAAACAAGTTATACTACAGATAAAAATAAACCAAACCAACATGAATTTTTAATCAATACAATTTTTTATAGACATTAAAAACAAGTATTAATTTTAAGTTTTTCTCTTAAGAAATGAAACATCAGTGTATCTGGCTGTGCTATATGTTCAATATGTATTTCTCTTCCTGATAGGTCCTTGACACTTACTGTAAAATCTCCACAGAACTGGATGATGATCTCAGCCTGGGGAGAGCCTATGAAGCCATAGCCAAGGTCCTGCAGAGGTAAGTTAGCACATCCTCGTCTTGCTGTCACTGTGAATTCACTCAACTCTGAAAGGCTTAAATTGTTTGAGGTCTGTCGCTTTCCATTACTGCCTGCTTAAATTTTAAGCAGTGCCCTTCTTAAGTGACCCTTTCATCGTAAGTTATTTTAAACCATTTTGGTATTTTAAAATATGCATCTAAACTCTTCTTTGTCTGTGTCTCCTTCGTTGTATTTTCTTTTTGGTTTTCTGTAAGTTTAGTGATGACCTTGAATAAAAGAGAAAAAAATCGGGTCACATCTGACAAGTTAAGAAAGCAGAGAGCACAGAAATATGTAGTATGCTTCAGTGGCTGTGGCTCACCGTAACCTTTCCAGATCTCTTCTTTGAGGAAAGTTTCCATTTATGCTTCAGTCACGCTTTTCCATTAAGACATCTCTCCTTTGAGCACATCTGGATAAACAATTGGAGTTAAAACCAATATTCCCAATATTTCATTTAAAACAGAAAATTTTAGATATATGAACATCTTCTGATACCTATTTTTCCATGGAAGGTATATTATTCATCCTTCAGTCATTGTCTTGCAATCATTGTTTACTCCATTTGATTGTTATAGAGTAGCCTTATGACTTAAGAAATAATAACAATAAGAGAAGTTATCGGTTAAGGCCTTGGTTTTTATTATGTTATCTTATATCCAAGATACAGCTTTTTAACAATAGTAATGTTGGTAGCAGTAACTATAGTAACAGATATAGATTGTGTTAAGTTCTAATTTCTTCCCATTTATATTTCAGTTGTAAACATATATAAGGAGGTGTTTTAAAAGTAAAACTGTTATTTGAAAGACATTTGAAACATTAAAAAGTACCTAGTGAAGTAAAATTGGAATCGTTATATAAGTACCATTACTAATATAATAATCATAGTTTAAAATATCAGTACCAATGAAATTAAAGATATCCTACAAAATAAATAAAATGCAGTAATCACTGGATAAATGGTTTAGGAACGCAGACATATTTAGAAGGAGAGGCCAGGCATGGTGGCTCACGCCTGCAATCCCAGCACTTTGGGAGACCGAGGCGAGCAGATCATCTGAGGTAAGGAGTTTGAGATCAGCCTGGCCAACATGGTGAAACCCCCTCTCTACTAACAATACTGGAAAAAAAAAAAAGATTAGTTGGTCGTGGAGGCAGGCTCCTGTAATCCCAGCTACTTGGGAGGCTGAGGCAGGAGAATCATTTGAGCCTGGGAGGTGGCGGTTGCAGTGAGCTGAGATTGCACTCCAGCCAGGGCATCAAGAGTGAAACTCTGCCTCAAAAAAAAAAAAAAAAAAAAGAAAAGAAAAGGAAAAGAAAAAGAAAAAAAGAAAGAAAAAAAAAAAAAAGGAAAAAGAGAGTATGGGTGTTTACCCAAGAAAGACAGAGCCAGTCATGGGTAAGGCAAGCAGCCTGTGAATGTTGTGATCCTTCTAAATAAAGATTGGTAACTAGTCCATGGAAGACCAACTCAGCTATTTTTTAAAACTTTTACTTCCAAACAACAACCCAGAAGATGCAGATGGTTGAATACAAAGAAGAGACTGATAAGAATTCAATTTATGTCTATTTGGAACAAACCAGCTCTGCTGATTGTACATTTGATTATGAACTTACTTGACTCTGCTGTTATCACTGCCCAAAAATCAGCAGAAAGGACTGCATTCCTTGCTTTGCTTTGTAGGAGCATATAAATGTGTCCCCTAACATGTTTATAAAATAATTTTTACAAAATGACATTTCCATTGTGTTCCAGCATAGCTAGAGAGAGAAGCTGAGTGTGGTGGTGGGGTCCTGTAATCCCAATTACTTGGGAGGCTGAGACGGGAAGATCCGTGGAGCCCAGGAGTTTGAGTCCAACCTGGGCAACATAGCAAGACCTCATCTCAAAAATTAATTAATTAAGAGATAAAACTTCAAGGGAAAAATTTATTTATAAACATCTACTAAGCACTTACTATATCACCGGACAAATATTGAAATGTCCCTTTGGTTACTGATGGTCTTTATAATTATTTTTGAAACTTCCAGAGACATAAGGCTGTCTTCAAATAATTCTCACCTCTTAGCCTTGCTTCTTATCTGGAATATTTTAGCCTCCATCCCAGGATTTGAATTCCTGGTTGATACAGTCAAAGCTAAGTGAAGAGCTGAACAATTATCTGGTGAATTTTGGCACTAACAGGCAATCTGATGTTTTAATTTGCCTATTTAAGTATTATTTGGAGCTTGGGAGTGGGACGGGACAAAGCTATATTTGATGTATCATGAAGCTGAATGTGTTTTGGATAGGACTGGGGACCATTCTGTTCCAACACTCTCAGCAGCCTGCCAATGTGCCTGAGGGCAAACATTTAAAGGAGCAAGAAGATTTATCCCCATTTTACTTTTATGCTAAGTAAACGAGTTCTTTTTATAAGAATTCCTGGCCAGGCACAATGGCTCACATTTGTAATCCCAGCACTTTGGGAGGCCAAAGTGGGAGGATCACTTGAGTGCAGGAGTTCGAGACCAGCCTGGGCCACATAGTGAGAACCTATCTCTATTTAAAAAAAAAAAAATAATAATTAAAAAAGGAATTCCCATCTACTAAAGTACAATAAAGCCATCAGTGATTTCATGGTAGACATGGATTCTTGATTTTGTAATGTTATACAATGCACGAGACAGTGCAGGGGATGCTTATTCTGAGGTCGTAGTGAAAAAGTGTCCCAAGGCCACAACCAGCTTTCCAATCCAAATCTGTGATTTTGCAGCATCGTTGTTGGTTACAGAGGAGCACTCAGGGAGTGCAAGCCTCCACATATTATTTCAACATCTGTGCAAAATAATTCAAAAGGGTAATCTACTAACAGGCAGATGTTTCCAAACCTAAAATTCTATAAGATAGACAACACCTTCTTGAATAGCGTAAAGCATTATTAAATCAAGTCCACTCATTGAATAAATGCTTTGATGTAAATTCTGTGTTCATTTTTAGAACATTTTGCTTGAAAGACTTGATATCCTTCAGTAAACATGCATGTGCACACAAACACACATGCACATACCCACACACATCAACACAAACACACACATGTACCAGCCCTTTCATAGCCCTAAATTGTCCTTCTCAGGTTAGTAGCAACATGCAAGAAACAGACTACAGCCCAAATAGAGGAAATTATGGTGGTGGCAGCTGAGAAATAAATCAAATTGCATATGAAGCTTAGCATCACCTCTAAATCTCTTTTTCCTAACCTACGCAATTGCACAAGTTTCACTAATGGTAGCCCTATCTCTATAAACATATTTTATATCTTTAAAGGAAATGGAAGAGGATAGCCATGTCTAGGATAAGTGTGTGTCTAAGGCCATCAACTGAGCATGCATGAACGGTGAATAAGATCTAAGGCTGGAAGCTTCTAAAATGGTTATAAGAATTTATACTGAGCCCTCAATTGAAAAACACACCACAATCCCTGAAGACTGAGGATTTGGTAATACAGAGTTGCCTGTCTGGTGATATTATTAATAGGTACAGACTTGGTGTTACAGTTATTGGGGAAGGTGTTAAGTGAACAAGTTTTGTTATTTTTGCCATTGATCTGAATAATATTAATTGCATAAGACTTTAAGCAACATAGCAGAAAATAAGCATTTGTAATGTCGTTCTTCCCCTGCTTGGAATAATAGTGAAGAAAAGAGTTGATGTTCTAAAACACTAACAATTGCCTTGTGAAACTACACTAAAAGCTAGAATTATGGTCCATAAAACAAAGAGAAAGTGAATTGAGAAATTACAAGTAAACATTATTATTATACAGACAGACGGTTTGAGTAAATACAGAGAGGGAAAATCCCTATATTTTCCTTTTGGCATTTCTTTTTTTGCCTCATTTACTGAAGTAGTTCATTTACAGAAACGTCACAACTTTCCAAAATACTCAGATTATTTAAAAAATACAGAGAAAAAATTCACAAAAATATGTTTAATACATATTGGTCACAACTAACCCACCTCTGGGTTTATTCCATACCAATTGTAAATTTTCTTGCAAACTCGAGTTAAATTATTTCCTAGAAAACTTTCCACAATGGAGATCTTTAAATCAATCAGCACAAAGTTTCAAGGGTGAAAATTACCTTTCTGTTATAGCTGAAAATTAATTTTTTCTTGCTTGAGAGAAATGACACGCCCTAGTAATTTTCATATATTCTTTAAAATGGAACATCCAGGCTTTGATGTGAAATTTCCTAAAAATGACCAAAAAAATACATCAAAACATATCTATTAATTCATGGAATTAAGAATAGCTTTTTGCATTTTCTCCTGTCACTGATCCCATTTGCCTTATTACTTTCATCTGTGGCCCACAAACTTGGTGGCACAATCAACAAACCCCTTAGTGGCTGTTTCATCTCTGCTCTATTTGATTTCTTCTCTCTGAGTAAATGATTAAGTTTTCATGCATTGGTTCAACCAAAATCTATGTTCACTCAACCACATCCTTTATTGATTACTTCTACTGCAAACAGTAGGCCAAGTGTGATATACATAATTGGACAGTTGTCAAGGGACGTGGGTGTTAACGGTCCTGTTTTCCCAGTTGGAAACTGGAATCACCTTGATACACAAATATTCTGCACTGTTTCATTCTCATTCTTTGGACCGAGGAGTCCTGTTCCTCCGAATATATGTTTTTAACTCTCTAAGGTCTGGTTGAATGAATTTAATGATTATACCATATAATATGCTGTTCAAGTTGCACCTGTGCACTGCATATAGAAAACTGGAATTAATATTTATCTAACATTTTAACCTTGTCCTTCAACTTATACAAATAAGCTGTAGCTTTTCTGTAAGAAAATATTCCATGTTTTCCCCTTCCATAAAAAGAATGGCTTCTGAATCTGTTGCTAACTTTTAAATTTGGAAAACCTTTAACCAGCATATAATGTTAATATTTCAGATGTTGCATTAACAGCTTTGCTG